ATAGACCTTGGATAAAGAGAAAGTGGTGCCACCACCATGTGCTCAAAGTGGCGCCAATTTTGAATTCAAATTCAAATTTGGACGTCCCACTTGTCTAGCCATGTACAGCCCCCCTTCTAGAACTCTTAATTACATTTGAGAGTAATTTAGGGTATATTTGATTAGTCACATGTGCAGCCACCCTTGGCACAAAAAATGCGACTCAAATGCAACTCTAATTACTCTTAAATGTAATTACAATTCTATGATTCATGCCTATTACTTATTCCCTTTAAATTCCTATTCTAATGGCCTAAATACAATGACCAATTAAATACAATGGAAAGGAAAAATTACAAGAATCAAAATGAGCCTAATATTGGGTACCAAAAGCTCAAAGGCCCATGAGGCCCAAAAATGCTACTTCATTTGGTCCAAAATACAGACCAAAATATATGAAACCTATACTAATATTATATATACAAAATAGAAGAAAATGGATATCTCAAGGTATGACCTATGTGAGGAGCAACTTGGGCCTTCCAAGCCCATCGGGCCATTGGGCTTTGACTGGCCCAAATCTTCATGTCTAGCCCATTCCTCTTAGATCCTTCAATGTGTCACTTCTTGCCCTCCTAGGCATGATTCCATCACTATGCACACGAAAGTAGGATTGAGACTTTCAAAAAAAAGTTATTCCTAATTATTGATCCCTAAGCTTTTACACAAGGGGGTTTTCCCTAGTAATGTATTCCATATCGTACCTTTAAGAAAACATTTTTATGCATATGATGCATGTCAAATAGGTTCTATGCATGACTTCACATGATCTCATAATTCACATATAACAAATCTCATCATATCATATTCTTCGTATACACACACGTATATAGGTTCATGTACGACTCAACTTCATAACAAGAAAAATATCATGCAATCTAGGGAACATCAAACAACATTTGCAGACAAAAGGGTGTTAGGCAGCATATGTCCTGTGCCTGGTGCAACACCTCTAAAGGACCATAGTGGTCTCTATTTGAATCATGCTCGATGTGTCCGAGCTCATGCCCAACAAAAGCACAACAGAGAGCCACTATAGCATTAACATCTGGTGAGGGTTAACTCACACCCAATGGAATCGTCATAGGGAATCCCATGGAGCTTCCTTGCCCGACATAAGAAACCCTGAAAGCAAAATTTGCTCTCGATCTCGACGACGTTCGGTGTGCCTTAAGTGGCACCCAACACCATATAAAAACAACACACATAACAAAAAAATGAAAAAATTATGTCACACACCAATTCACCAAAATACACGATTCAATTCATAGAAGCATTCCAAACCATGTAATAAACATTCTAAACAACATAATTTATGCATATAATTACATACTCAAACAATCTCCTCATACAACCCCAATGTATTATTTTAGAGTTTCTACAAGAACTCATAAGAATATCAAAACATAAATTTACAATCCAATTTTGAAAATTTCTAACACATACATATAATTTACATCGATTATAACATACAAAGAGAAGCAAAGAAAATAAAGATACATTTGGGAAAAACCCTTCATACATGGGCAAACAACAGAGACAGGATTAGAGGTCAATTCACTACCCATCGTACAATCTCACACTTAAAACGAGGTTTCTCACTCCTCCCTTATCTTATTGAGGAAAAAAAAGATGGATGATTGACTCCAAGGTACTATAGCACAAACAAGTACATCAAAATAAAATAAGCGTGAAAATTGATTAGGAAAAAACATTCTCTTTAAAATTTAACCCCGGCCCCTTTAACTCCATAGATAAAAATGTTTAACCAAATCACTAATTCCTTTCTCCTCAATTAATTAAATAAAATATTAAAATAAAACCTTAATTAAAACATCTTCTATTATAATGTAAAATATATCAAATAATTAAAATAAATATTAATTAGCTCTTATTAGTTAAAATAAAAATACTAATATGATTAACTAATTAATTAAATATATATATATATATATATATAATATTTTATCAAAAACGAGGTATTATATTTGGTGTGCTCTTAATTTAGGACTCATGCTAAATATAAGGTGCTAGTCATGAGGTTATTGGTTGACAGAAGAAAATATAATGACTATGGTGCTTGGTTTGAGTGATGGTATAAAACTAATGTTGATGTTGGACTCCTATATATCAATTTAAGTGATCCCAATGATAGAATTTAATGAGACTTTGTTTATGATTTTTGGCTTCTACATTATTGAAGATGAGGTTTTATGATGTTGACTTTATGGTTTAAGTGTGATGATGAACTAAAGTTGAAGTCTCACATGTTTACAAAAGATCAATTTTTATATATTTTTTATTTTGATATTTTTAACATTTTTAAAAATAGACAAATTAAGTGTTCGATGTCATGACTCATGACTATGTTGCTTTGTCAAAGTTTTATTTTTTTCATTTCCATTTTCTTTTTTTTCTCTTCCTTTTTTTTTTGCATTTTTATTATTTATTTATGTATATTATTTAAAATTTAAATTTTCCAATTAGATAGTTTTTTTAAAAATTAATAAAAATATACAAATAAAGAAGAAAAAATTAAATTTACAATTTTGTTTCCTAATATATTATGATCAAACAATTTTTATACATAAAGTATCATAGTTATACAATTATCTGATTACTAGGGTTAGTTTAGTGGTTGGATGGAGAGGGGTTAGGATAGTTAGAAGCATGAGGACCTAGGTTCAATCCTCATTGTGACCATCTTTATAATATTTCCTATCTTTATAAAAAAAAAAAAAAAGTTGTACAATTATCATCTTTGATATCTCGTTAACAAATTCGTGTTGCGTCAATATATATTTAGGATTTAGGACCAGTGTCACGGTAGCATATATGTTAGATTATGATACCTTAAAATCTAAATTAATTTGTCTGGGTGTGTTTGAATACTTATCCACACACATTCTCATACACTCAAACGAAAAATATGAGTGTAGATGGATTGAGTTGAACGTACGTTTAACTTTTTTAAATGATAAAACAAACATGCACTCTATTCTCTAAAACATTCAATGATAAAAAATTCATTTCCAATGTTTCATCTTAATTAGGTGCCAAATTTCTATCATCCTCCTTTTATTGTCATTCACTAACTATTGTGATTCATATTACGTGAAATAAAAAACTGTTTATTCTATTAGTATACTTTACATGAAAAAAGAATGGGTATCAAAATCCATAACGTGCTAATAGTACGAAAAAAAAATTCAACAACAGAAATGCTAAAAAATAGCATGCTACTGAGCTAATAAGTTTTAATTTGACTAGCTTACTAATAATACAAAAAAAAAACCCAAAAGAAACCCACTTCATACGGTAAAAGAAGAGTAAATAAGGTGAAAGTAAAATATTTGATATTGTTAATGTTAATCTATTATCTTTGGTTAATTAAAATATTATGTTAGTATTTACTTAAAATTTTATAACTTAATTGATACAAATGAGATGGAATAATATATCAGAATAAATTTAAAGTCTAGTGTCATTTAAATGAATCTTAAAGTAGTGAAGTGTAATTTATTCAAAATATTATTTACGTATTATAATTTTGTTATATATACAAAAATTATCTTGTATATTACCGATATTCAAATACTAGTAAATTATATAGTTAGATATATATAAGGAGTCAAATCTAGGCTCTATTTATTCATAAAATAAATTTGAAAATTATTTTTGTTGTTATTTAATTAATTAGTTTTAGTCATTTTCTTAAACTTTATTTTTTTTAATTTTATTAATTATAAGTAAAATCAAGTAGATTCAGATTTTTTTTAATGTATGATCCGATCGAGTTTTTCGACCAAGCCAAGTTTATCCAATTATAAATCAAATTACATATATTAATTGTTAACTATATGGATTTAAGTAGAATATATTTACGGTATAAACTTTTTTATACTATAATTTAGTTATAAATTATATTGTATTTAAAAATATTAACTTTTATAATAATTATTTAAAATAATATAAAAAACTTTAGAATGAGAACATATCAAAATGAATCTCTAATAATATTGATCTCACATATTGTCCAAGCTATTAGCTAGGTAATTCATCAAGTGAAACTGACCCATCTTACTCGAATTTAACAACTACAACTAATACTGAGCAAAAATACTAACAAGGAAAAAAATCTAAAGAAAAAGTCTATTTTCCATATAATTAATACGTGATAATAAAGTATTTATTTACTTTTTTCAAACTTACCTTGAGCACATTAATAATATTGCCCTACCACAAATCAAATCCTGCGTCCTGGTTGATTGAATTGAAAACCAAGAATAGTGAATACTATTCTTTAGATCAACATCAACCTCACAATCCTTAAAAAAATCCATCCAAGGAATGCTGACCTCATCCCTTCCACTCTCTTCTATATCAATCTTTCATCATAAACTCTCTTTAATTTTTTTTTTTCTCTCTCTCAATGTTACTATACCTTTTATTTTTATTTATTTTCATATACATATATAATACATTCAGTATTTCAAGAATTAATCTATGTTTGTGAGGTACATTTTTGTTAATCAAACATTATTTTAATATAAATAAAAAATTAAACTTTAAAATATTATTTAATCTCTTATATCTCAAAACAAATCTTATAACAGTTTCGAAGATTTCAAATTTGTTTTAGTTTTGTAAATGAAAAAATGTATATAATTAAGAAGTAAAATCTCACTAAAATACTTAAAAAAAATTTCCTAAAAATTACTCATTTACAAAACATAAAACATGTAAATATTTTACCCTAATAATATAGTGAAAAAGAAGTCCCCTAATATTATTTTTCTCCGTTGGTTAATTTGTGTACTTTGCAAGCAGAAACTCACTACACTAACTAAGCCACACATTATTAGAATCCGACCTCAAAGAAACAAGACACGTACCTTTGTCACTTACCATACAAATGAAGTCTCCAAGTGGGTGACGTGTGAACTAATTTCCCACCCATTGCTTTTCTTTCCACACAAAAAGATTGCAACACACAAGTAGCACTCAGAATCACCAAAGCAACACTCTCCTATATCCTATGCTAATTTTCAAAACCCCTTCCATGGCTCACCAATCTCACCATAACACCCAGATTATTTCTCCTCAACCTTCCAAACTCAACAAACCCCACCACCCCAAAGCCAACAAAATCATGGAGCAAGAACACAAAGACCATAGCATCAAAGATAGTAACACCAAGACCAAGACACTTGGACCAACCCCATCAAAAGTTGAAGCATTGGATGAGGATAGTGGACGTGAGAGGCTGAAGAGGCATAGAATCGAAGTTGCTGGAAGGGTTTGGATTCCTGAAATATGGGGGCAAGAGGAGCTCTTGAAGGATTGGATCGATTGCTCAGCATTCGATGCTCCTTTGGTTCCCAACAGAATCGTTATGGCACGTGCCGCCTTGGTTGAAGAAGGAAGAAGGGCCACATCGGGTGGGTTAAGAATCGAGAACAGGTGTTGAGCTTTATATATATATATATATATGTTGTTATTGGTTATGTATGAAACGTGTTTTTGTTAATCCTGATGATGCTATATTATCCCTTTTGTTTTGGATATTTATACATCTTTGGAAGCAGTTGATACATTACAGAAATAAAATATTAATGCGACTTCCCAAATCTGTTACTGTGTACAAAGCCACATTAATTGGTTCAATTCATCTATACTTGTCTTTGATTTTTTTTTTCTTTTTTTTTTTTCTGGAGTACAATCTATGCCCTCTCTTGATGTAAGTACAGCTTTATGTTTGACTATATTAAGGTATTTTAGTTCGTGTTTAATTTATCATGTGTAAGATTTGCCAACTTTTCTTTCACAATGATTAGATCAAGCACAAAAAGCATAGAACTATGCTTATTATCGATGGATCTCTAATTCTGACAGGAGATAACACCCATAACATATGGCATTGTGTGAAAGATTTGATCTTAGATTATTAATTATTAAGTTTTTCATGTGACTTGCTAATTTTTTTTATCTGAAATTTCTAAATTAATATTATGACTTCAAATGAGATCGATGCTTATAATTAATCAGTTCAGCTTTTTCATTGATCCCTTGCCATGTTTGAACTCATTTTGATGAATTGAGAAAATCTTAAAGCATAAAGTTGCAAATAGCAATTAATTTAACTACAAATCAATTTGTTTAAACTTATTGATTAAAGAGATCTGGAATGCATGAAACTAGCAAGTTATCATTTAGCTAGTAAGTTTCAATGCATTGCACAATTCTCGATTTTATTAATCATAAGTTTAAACAAATTTCAAAATAAACTCTGTACATATATAAAAAAAATTTTAACAATCGTGAATATTTTATTTTATTGGATGGGAGTTACAAAAAAAAATCATGAAAATAAATTATTTGTTAAGATATATAATTTTATGTATATTAATTTGATTTAGTATGTGAGAATTAAATTGAAATTAGGGTTTACTAATATTCTAATCTTAAAGCTTTATTTATTATTTAAAATAGATATTTTTAATTTAATATACTATATGTCAAAAATAAAAATTTTAAATTTTAATTTAAAATTGAATTGAGATTAACCAAATTAAATTAAGTTATAGTATTTTACGGGATCAAATTATATAAGTAAAAAATCATGACACTTAATGTAAGATAAATCATGTGACCTGAAGAATAATAAAGCGAAAAATTACTATAACTTTTATTGATATTTGTCAAAATGACATCGACTTTTTTTCTAGTTTTTTTTTGTTGATACTTATTTCTTTTATTTTTTTAATTTAGCTTTCATATATCACCCTTTTTTATAATGTTAGTTCATTTAAATATTAAAATGCATTCTCTTTTATTATTTGAACTTTTTTTTACGGTTGAAAAAGTGCATGAGGTCATATAGGTGTGTATTTTTGCTCTTAATTTTATTATATTGTGACATAATACAAATATAAAAGAAATGTCATTTTGAACAAAGGAACAAATGTTTAATTATTCACATATAAAATCTTATCAATGATATATTGATTACTCACAGTTAAGTTTAAGTAACTTAAATAATTCTAAATCTATTAATTAAGGATAGAACTTTAAAAGTTTTAGTAGTATATTCTTTTGTCAAATATCAAAGTCACCAAATGAGTAATTATCCAATCTTTATGAAACCACATTTTTGTTTGTATAAATAAAAAAGATGACGACCTAAAAAGAATTGTTTAAATGTATGAAAAGAAAAAAAGATAGTAACGAAGATGGAATCTATTAATAAACATAGGAGAAAAGTCATGCATATAAAAGATTTTTTTAATTTTTTACTTGGGTAATTTTTTAGTTTTATTTATAATTTAAGAACTTAAATAGAATTAACATTTGGGAGTTTCTTTTAAAAAGAACTATAGAGAGGTAATTTGTGTCATTTGGGCGAACTCTAAGGAAGGTTAATGCAATTTACCAAAATAATCATTCTTAAAATACTCTATTTTTAAAAAAATCATGCTTAAAATACACTCCCTTAAAAATAAAAATTCAATTTTACAATATAAGAATAAATAATTTTCTATATATAAATGAGAATAATTATGTTGTATGGCTGTTCTTTTAAAAATTATTTCTTTAATGATGACAATTTTAAGAGTTTTTTCAATGAGGTTTTTAAGGATTATTTTTAATCATACAAGCAACAATGTTAATAGTTTCTATCAATGCCACATGAGTTACTATATCACTACCTAAGTATTACATCATCAGTTCATATTAACATTAAAAGTGCCATGTCGAGCTCAATATATCTAGTCAATGTTAACTAATAGTTAATTAATGGATGAACTAAAAGTGCGTATTTTTTTAAAAATTAGGATGATCAAAATTTCATAATTAAAAAAAAGTAATGATAGAAGTACAACAAAATTGTACATCAACTTATATGATAGAGAGATACAGATATAAAAAAAAAGAGGTGATATTATACAAGTTATCATACATGTATCACACACACATACAATTAATGGATGAACTAAAATTGTGTATTTTTCTTAAAATGATTAAAATTTCATAATTAAAAAAAGTAATGATAGAAGTACAACAAAATTGTACATCAACTTATATGATAGAGAGAGACACAAAAAATGATGTTATACAAGTTATACAGACATTTAAAATTAATTATATACATAAATTAAAATAATTATTTTTATTTAATTATAAATTTTAATATAAAAAAATTTATTTAAAAATTTATGTTTTATATACATGCAATAGAATTACATTTATCAAATATAATTAATATAAAAATTAAACACTAGAAAAGAAAATATTAATTTAATTATTTAGATATTGATAAAAAAATATACTATATTAATAATAAAAATTAAATATTAACTACGTTAATACTCATATGTTATATTTAATAAATATAATATAATATTTAATATTATGTAAGAAAAATACTAGTATTGTACTATCCGTACCGCCATGCCGAGCTCGAGCTCGGTATCATAGTGTAAGACGACCTCGGACATGCGCTGGGAGATCTCGATCTAGGCGAGATCCGCTATCTAATCAGATTATAACTGATCTCAGGCCCAAGGCCCAACGAAACCCTA